TCTCATAGAATTCTGAGAATTTTTTAATATGCATTTTTTCATTGAAAAATAATTACCGATAAAAAAATTTGCAGTACTAAAAAGTAAATAAAAAATTCTGAAAAAATTTTTAGAGAAAAAATTCTATAAGAAGAAAATAAACTTAACACTTTTTGTCTCTTGCTTTTTCTGTAAAATTGATAGTACTTGAGTAAAAAATTATTAAAAACAAATATTCACCGATTTTTAATTATTAATATCTTGTTAACTATTGCGAAAATTGCAAAATGGTAGAATATTTTTCTAGTTTAGTGATCTATCCACGCACGAGATATTTGGTTATTCTGTGATATCCTGTATATAAGAGCGAGTCATTTTAAATGATGTACTGAAATATCTCGAAAAATATAAAAGATACAGAAAAATATTTTATACAAAATTAAAGACAAGAATGTAAGGAGAAATAGGAGTCAGTGCAATACTTGGTGCGCAAGTATAACAATGGATTTAAGAGTCCATTTTTAATATAACAGAATATGAAAGGTAAATCCACAATCTTACTTTAAGAGAGACCTTAATTCATAAGTCGAAAGAGATTAAATAATAATATTTTTGATTTTTTTTTAAATTGTTTTTGCGCAGTCTTTAAGCTTTAACCGTTAGATTTAAGCGAACTGAGTAAAATTTTTACGACCTAAAGACATAAGTTCTGTGGCCGCTATATTATCATTTACAACTTACGGCTTACGGCCTTTTAAAGCAAGGATTTAAAAGATATAAATTGTGGACCTATTCTAATATCCATACATGTTTCGATTTACTTCAAGTCATTCAATGGAATTTATATAATACTATCCTGTACAAATAGTGCATTAACCATGTCAATCATCCAACATATCAAAAAGATTCCTTAGATTCATCCCAGTTTACTGGCTAGAAAGAAATAAATAATCCTTATGAAGTGAAGCGAATTGATGCAGATACACATACAGTAGTCAACCAGTTAAATATAAAACTTATTTGAATAATATGATAAAATAATAAAATAAGAGTGATTCAAATACATTTTTTTGTCAAATGAGTAGATCGAACTGATAATTGTTCACTCTTCAGAGACAAATAATTCATTCACAATTTTATACAAAAGTTGCTCAGTTACTGCAAGAAAAAAAGTGATGACTTTGGTTAATCTAGAGATGATGTTCTTAAAGATTAAGAATACCTAAATTTTTTTAAACAGAAACCCCGATTTTTTTATTTCATGTTCATATATGTTAAAACATTACATTAAAATATATTTTCTCTGAGAACTTTACAATGGGCTTGAAGATTAATAGATCAACACAGTGAAAGCTCCATTTGATTACATTAATATTAATCATCCGCTAAACAGTTGTTATAACTGATGTCATTTGTTATAACTGGTGTCAAATGGAAATTATCCTATTTTTTACTCCAGAAATAAAAAGAGCAGAAAATTCAGATATGCTATCATGTATTCAAATTTAGCCCAGGGATCATTACAAGATCAACTTGATTTTTTACAACGAAAATCTCAAAATTTTAATTAATTTAAATAAAATAAAAAGAGCATTTAAATTTATTTCGGGATTTAAATGGCATTAAATGGTACACTTCATCCCAGCATCTGTAAACGGCATACTAGTGCGAATTAGGATTTTGTGATTTCATTCACTTAATTAACCATAATAATATTCTTCAAAATACTTTCAAAACCATACTTTCTTGGGGTAAAATTTCTCAACAAAGCAATTTGACGCAACTTAAATTTAGTTAAATTGTTATTAAGTTATAAAAAAATTAGTATTAAAAAAGTTAGTGTTAAAAAAAGATCTTTTTTGAAAAATGCCAATGTTTTGTTAATGCGAATTCGCACCAGTATGTCGTTTAAGTGTTAAAGTTTGAGCATTAAAAAAAATTTTAGGTAATTTTGATTACCTCTCTCTGATTTTAAGGACATCTTCTAGGTCAACCAAAGTCACTACTTTCTTTCTCCCTAATAACTGAGCAACTTTTATATGAAATTTTTCTATATCTTTTCGAGATATTTCTGAAAGTCACTTAAAAT